ATTACAGACTAAAGTGACCTACTTGTTACCTATACATTGTACCGATTCTACCATTTGTACCTATTTTACAGCAGAGCGACACCCACTTGCCTGCCTTATTTAAAATTTAACATAATATTCAATATTCTTATACATATTGTAAATTTTATACATTAAGGGAATTTTTTTGTTAAATGTTGTCACTTGGCCTATCACATGGAAGTATTTTGTGTAGGTAATTACTAATTAATAATAAATATACCTATACCTACTATTATTATTATGTGTACCTACTATAAATGTATTTTTTTATGTATAGGTATTATACCTACTTACATAAAAACCATTCTGATTATGAGTGTAGGCTTGTTGCAAAGTGTGCATTGGTATAGATTTGCATCATGTGATTTTTGACAAATACACCTATATTGCTAAATAAATTTGGGTTGGTAAGGGGACGTTTTTTTTTCTTGCCTGTTGCACAAAATTCCTAAATACGACTCTGCAAAAACTAAAATCCTTGTGCCCCCTCCCACCAAACATTAAAAACACAACTGACTTACCTATAATATATCAAATTCCAATGGCATTTGTTGCAATAAATTGTGAATTATGAAAAATAAAAATGAATGTCTTTTGTATCAGCCATATTTTTATAGCAGTAAGTAGAATACTAATAGTAGGCTACTATAAATATTAAGTAGGTACATACAATCTATTCAATTAAATCTATATAATTGCTAGTTCTTGAGTTATTCGGGTAATCGGGTCTCACTGTCAAAAATGATTTTAGGCTCATAGCCAGACTTTTACCTAAGATATTCTAAAGATGAAAATATATTTTATAATTTATAGACTATATAGTGTAGCCACAGATCCGGAATAGATGGGCGAGCTACCTGGAAAATGTCAGAGGACCACTGTAAATCTGGGCTGGTTTTAGGCTTAAGCATGGATAGTTTCGGATAATTATTTATCTGGATTAATTAATTTAACTCAGTGTGAAGTGTATGCTAGTCTTGTAATGTTTGATTAAAAATAGATCTTTTGGGAACGATTAAAATCCTAAGACTTGGTGTGTCGATACCTTTCCTATCCGGTACCGAGTTTAGGAGAATCCACTACATATTATGATTTTGTGAATTTACAATAAAGGGCTCCAGCATAATATTATCATGTCTTGAAGAGTAATATTTAGGCAATTCACATAACAGAAACTTTGAGCTATATCTATGTGTGAGTAAATGAACATTAGTGTGTGTTTACGAAAATCGCTATTTAATGCCGCGTCGGGTACTGTCGCACGCGCACGCACATTGAATTGCGATCCAATGACGAAAACATTTATAAGTTATACAAGTCATATAAGTTGAATAAGTTAATACTCCGTTATAGGTACAAGGTAATATATACAAGGTAGGTACATATATTTTTATTCAATACCTATCTATGTGAAATATATAGGTAATAATTGTAAAATGTATTGCTGAGAAATAGTTTTGAACTAGGTACTGGAAAAATTCATTAAAAATATGAACAATACAAAAAAAAAGTTAAAATTTGGCTAAACCATAGCCCAAGCATTGAAGCATCTGAGTTATAGTGTTCAGTGTTAATATAAAATATATGATGTGAACCTGATAAAATTTAATATATTATGTTATATAGCAACCGATTAATTAATTATACTTTTTATTATTTTATTTATATTATACTTATTTTGTCTTTTAATGTTTCCATTTTTAATTTTAAATTTGTAATGTTTATTATAGTTTTGTCTTTTAATGTTTCCATTTTTAATTTTAATGTTTACACTACTTTAATTACTTAGGTTTTTTATTAGTACTAAAATTTCACCAATAAGAAGTTTTTTCCTCAGTGTGTTGGGCCATTATACTCGATATTTTTTTATTATAACTACTGTACTGTGATCATATTATGGACAATAAAAAAAAAAAAATGGTTAGTTATTTTTCGTCCCACAATATGACGCAACAGTTAAGACTTTTAGACGTCTCGCCACTGTCATTTGCGATTTGGCCTTTCTCGATATTCTCAAAAGCCACGTCACTCGAGATTTGTTTTTCTTTGAGGTCTTTGTTGGTGTATTAATTGTGATTCTGTCATATTTAATATTTTTTATACATTTATATGGTGTATACTGTATACCTAAATTAATTTAATTTTAAATGATTAAAAATAAAAATGGACGCCAATGATGGATACAAATATAATAATAATGGCAGTCGAAATGGAATCACGTAAGTACGATTAATTATAAATACCTACCTAGTTATTATGCCAACTTAAATTAAATTAATTTTATAATTTTGTACAATTTATTCATTACACTTAAATATTTTTTGTTATACATTTTCAAATTAAAATATTCAATTGTATTACCTTTGAAATAGTGATGTTTTTTCAGTTACTATATCATATTTAACATAGGTAATAATTTAAGACACGTCATTATTATTATAAGTAACTATGAATTTAAAATAAAGTTATTGTAATTATTTATTTTAGATTCTGAGAGAAACGATGAATGTATTGATTCTACAATGATGTGTTTTTTTTTGTGTTTGTCATCAAATTTTAGGACAGTAAAAGTGCTTGGATTTTCTTCAACAGTATCTTTTCTGATAGGAAAGTGAATCTAGTTGGTACTTTGGGGGTTCAAAAGTAACAAGTAACAAAGACATTTTCAGTTTTAAATTTTTTTAGCTTTTTTTTCTATAAATATCAATAAAATTGTATTTTTTGTGTAAAAAAGAGTGAAAATTTAATGCAAAGCTCCTGATATATTGTTACAATAGCAGTTAAAAATTATTAAAATTACAAAGGCACAATTTTTTTTTATAAACATTTAAAGTTCAAATTTGACAAAATTTATCTTATTTAAAATGTAATAATAATTTTGTAGTTAATAATGTTCAACTTTTATAGCTGAGGATTGAAAATTTAAAACAAGATTCCACGTAAATAGGTTATTTATAAATTACTTTATTCACCTTAATATTTTCAAATATACTTCATAATATCATAGGCTGACTGACAGTTTTCGCTCAGAATCGTTTTTCTTATACAATGATATTATATCATTGAATTCAAATTTAATACCATCCATTATACCGTGACCTATTTGTAACCTACTGTACAGCAGAGCAACTTTTTAATATTTCAGTTATTTTAAATGCATTGAAGCTCGTACACATTTTTGTAACAGTTCTATAAAAAGATTAAAAAATGGTACATTCGTTAAGGTTAAACCACACAGAGGTCATGGTAGAGAACCAGGGATCAGTAACCAGGGCTGATCACTAATTTCCGAGCAGTTTTAAAACAACGAGCAGCTACAGAAAATATACCGTTGAAAAGCATTTACGATGAATAATGAAGAAGGTATGTTCTTAGGGTCATAAAAAGATGAAAAATAGTGTTAGGCCCCAATAACAGTCATTCTAAAATACAACATTTAATCTTTTTCAGAATTGAAAAATATCTCTCACTTATTGTAGATGTTGTAACTGGTAATACTGCTAGAATAAATAAAAATTGAAGTATGTTTGGAAAATATAAATATCCATCCTTTTTAAATAATCTCAAACTGTTCACACCACACCAGCCTATTGACTACAATCATATAATTTTAAAAATAATATTTTTTTATTATAAATAAAATATCATCTTGCTATCTGGGTTATAATACTTTATAATATAAAGCAGTTAATTTTATTGTTAGGTACCTATACCTGCTATTCATATATAATATTTATTAAAGCGAAAATTACCAAGACTATCTAAAATATTTATTTATTTTTGAATTTTGTTACATATAAATTATACGTAGGTAACTATTTTTTTTTTAGCATAGATGGTAAGTCTATGTCGGGAACCTTTCGTCCCCCCTCACCTTAAATCAACTGCTGATTATTACAATAGGTAGAGTAATTTGAAATGATTTAGTACCTATTTACAGTGCTGTAAAGTATTTGAGTAAAAGTTTTCAAGTATTGAATAACTTTCTAAATATTTTCAGCATGAAGTATTTTCGATACTTTTTTTTGTATTAAATACTTAATTGTATTGAATACTTTTTTTTTCAAACATTTTATTTTTGTTCAAAATATTTGGTTGAAAAAATATTATTTCCAACTACAGTAATAGTTTTATTTAGTATTCTGTATTTTTGTGTTAGCACAAATGTTTGTGAAAACCCGGTTTTTTCAATAGTTATTCAATAAAAATATATGAACATTTTGAAAACTAAGGTCCATGTTTAATTGAATACTATTTGTAGTCGATGCTTAAGAATAAGTATTGCTTAAGCTACACTTAAGATTCAAATGAGATACATAAACGAGACTTTGGTTTAAAAAAAGAAAAAGTGTTACCTACTTAAATTAAGGTTGGTCGAGACATACCTTAAGCATTGCTTTTAGTTAATATCACAAATTTGTATTTTTAAATTATCAAAATTAGCTTAGGCAATACTTATTCTTAAGCATTGACTATGAATATTGAACAAGGCCCTAATGTTTTTAAAATGTAATAAACATTTATTTAATAAATAATTAAAATAAACATGATAATAAACCTACTTTAAAAACCAAAAGTATTTTTAAGGTATTCCAAATACTTTCTCAAAGTATTTGAGTAGTATTTTAAATACTCGACAAAAAAATTTATTTTAGTATTTACTCAAATACATTTTAGAAGTATTCTTCACAGCACTGGTTATTTACAAAAAAAAAAATCCCGAGCCATTCAGCGAAGTTATATACAAAGAATCTTAAAGACTTTCATTTGAAATCAATGTATCACGTTTATTTTTATTAAATACTGTGTCATTTATACTGTAGGTAATTTATTGATATTGAATCATAATTAATACAGACATGTGGTAGCAGCAGGATTATATCCATGGTCTACTGCTGAATCGATTATGCGATTTACCAGGAGAAGCACAATGCCAAGACTGTAAAATTCACTATCCGACTTGGCCACATTGTTTGAAAATGAACAACTCAATCGATTTGGATGTTTTGATGCTCCATTCTTTAGAGGATGTGTACAATGTACATTATGTTGATGGCAGGAGTAATGTTATTTTCGCATGCACCAACTTGTTACAGCATATACTTAGAAATGTAGTCACTGATGAAACATTTAAAGTGGTCCCAGTTAATATGGGATATCAGTTGTTGACAATACACTGTATGATTCAGAACTATGTAAGTTATTGTTTAATTTTTCATATGCCTAGTAAAACTTAAGATTATTTCAATAATTTTTCATATATAGGAATAATTAATGCTAGACTCGTTATTTCAGTACATACCCATAGTATATTTTCTAATGGAAAGCAAGTCAAGGAATTTGTGTGATTGTGTAATACGATTTATTAGAAATAATCTATGGCCAAATGTAGTTCCAGAAACTATAATTACAGGTTATGAAACAGCACTGAGGGATGAGCTGATTTCGCCATTTTCAAAATCTAGTGCTGTTGGGTGTTTTTTTCACCATAATCAAGTACCTATTAAAATAAATAAAAACATAAAAATTAATGACATAATATTTTTGTATGTATATTGTTAAGGCTGTATGGAGAAAAATGAAAAACTTAAGCTACTGACACCATGTCAACAACAATGACAATTCGTTGAAAGCTTTAAGACTCCTCTTGTCTCTTCCGCTATTGCCTGCCAGAGATATAAACAGCGAATTTTTGTTGATTCTGACATTTTGTCAAAATCATGGAGGGCATCTAGAACGTTTGAAGACATAATATTATGAACAGTAACTTATAATAAAAATATCTTGTTTAAAATTTAATTAACAAAAAATTATACCTACATTTACATATACAATTAGTTTATTAATTAATTTATTAATTTATAATGATTAACGCCAGTCGGCTTTTATACAAAGTACTTACATACAAAATAATAACAATTTTAAATAACAATATTAAAATAGTAAGACATAATAACAGTATTAAAAATATTAAGACAGCAAAAACCAATAATATGGTGAAACAAAAATAAAGGGGCCAGGCACGAAATTGTCACAAATTATATAAATTGTATACACGCATCAGTCTAGGGAGGGGTGCATTGGCAGCATAGTCATCATAGTGCTGCTTTAATTACTTAGCAAAGAGCTAAGTAATTAAAGTAGTATAAACATTAAAAATGGAAACATTAAAATACAAAAATATAACGAACATTACAAATTTAAAATTAAAAATGGAAACATTAAAAGACAAAATAAGTATAATAAAAATAAAATAAATAAAAGTATAATTAATTAATCGGTTGCTATACAATATAATATAATATAATATATTAAATTTTATCAGGTTCACATCATATATTTTATATTAACACTGAACACTATAAAGCACTCAGATGCTTCAATGCTTGGGCTATGGTTTAGCCAAATTTTAACTTTTTTTTTGTATTGTTCATATTTATAATGAATTTTTCCAGTACCTAGTTCAAAACTATTTCTCAGCAATACATTTTACAATTATTACCTATATATTTCACATAGATAGGTATTGAATAAAAATATATGTACCTACTTTGTATATATTACCTTGTACTTACCTATAACGGAGTATTAACTTATACAACTTATATGACTTGTATAACTTATAAATGTTTTCTTCATTGGATCGCAATTCAATTTGCGTGAGCGTGCGACAGTTACCCGACTCGGCATTAAATAGCGATTTTCGTAAACACACACTAATGTTCATCTACTCATACATAGATATAGTTCAAAAGTTTCTTTTGTGTGAATTGCCTAAATATTACTCCTTAAGACATAATAATATTATGCTGGAGCCCCTTATTGTAAATTCACAAAATCATAATATGTAAGTAGTGGATTCTCCTAAACTCGGTACCGGATAGGAAAGGTATCGGCACACCGAGTCTTAGGATTTTAACCGTTCCTAAAAGATCTATTTTTAATCAAACATTACAAAACTAGCATACACTTCACACTGAGTTAAATTAATTAATCTAGATAAATAATTATCCGAAACTATAAATGCTTAAGTCTATGACCAGCCCAGATTTAGAGCCGTCCTCTGACATTTTCCAGGTAGCTCGCCCATCTATTCCGGATCTGTGGCTACACTATAGTCTATAAGTTATAAAATATATTTTTATCTTTAGAATATCTTAGGTAAAAGTCTGGCTATGAGCCTAGAATCATTTTCGACAGTGAGACCCGATTACCCGAATAACTCAAGAACTAGCAATTATATAGGTTTAATTGAATACATTGTATGTACCTACTTAATATTTATAGTAGCCTACTATTAGTAGGGTACTTACTGCTATAAAAATATAGCTGATACAAAGGACATTCATTTTTATTTTTCTAAATTCACAATTTATTGCAACGTATGCCATTGGAATTTGATATATAATAGGTAAGTCAGTTGTGTTTTTAATGTTTGGTTGGGGGGGACACAAGGATTTTAGTTTTTGCAGAGTCGTATTTAGGAATTTTGAGCAACAGGTAAGAAAAAAAACGCCCCCTTCCCAACCTAAATTTATTTAGCAATATAGGTGTATTTGTCAAAAAACACATGATGCAACACGCCTACACTCATAATCAGAATGGTTTTTATGTAAGTAGGTTTAATACCTTTACATAAAAAAAATAACATTTATAGTAGGTACACATAATAATTATAGTAGGTATAGGTATATTTATTATTAATTAGTAATTACCTATACAAAATACTTCCATGTGATAGGCCAAGTGACAACATTAAACAAAAAAATTCCCTTAATGTATAAAATTTACAATATGTATAAGAATATTGAATATTATGTTAAAATTTAAATAAGGCACGCAAGTGGGTGTCGCTCTGCTGTACAATAGGTACAAATGGTACAATAGGTACAATTTATGGGTAACAAGTAGGTCACTTTAGTCTGTAATGGATGGTGTTAAATTTTAATTCAATGATAGGTAGGTATAATATCATTGTATACGGAAAATGACTCTGGGCGAAGACGGTCAGTCAGTGTCAGCCTTTGATATTTTACTAAGTACCTATATTTGATGATATTATTGTGAATAAAGTAATTTATTTACATATTTACGCTGAACCTTGTTTTAAAATATTATAGTTAAGCTATTACCAACAAAATAAAACTGCGTATATGTTTGATTAATAGTACAATCCCTTGTGTTTGTCCCTTAAATCTAAGTATATGATGTATTACATAAAATATCAATTTATGTTGGATATATTATATCTCAGCACAATCGTATGATCTAGACTGTTTTTATGTCTCATGATGAAACAATATTTTATATATAATATTTGACTTTGAAAATAATAGAAATATCACGTTTTTTTATATTTAAACCTGAAAATCTAATACATTGCCTATAGGTACCAATAGATACCATAATGCAATATATATACCTACATTAATGTTATGTAGGTATACATTAATTCAAACGACAGTAAAAAGTATCAAAAATCGTTTGTCACCTTTTTTTATAAGGGTTGACTCAAATTTGACAACAATGGCGTATTCTTTAAAGTTATTATTTAGTTTATTTCACTTATATTTAAAATAATTATTTGTTTTAAGATTTAATTTTCTATTGAGCTTTATTCAGAATCATTTTTCCGAATGCATAGTTTTTTTTTTATCGTTGCATTCAAATTTAAAATACCAACCACATTTACAAGTTGTAGACAACTAAATTATCGTGATTATTAGGTAAACTCAAACGGAGAAATAGCTTAAATAATAGCTTATTACACTTCATCATAAGGTATCTTGTCCGTGGAGCAATGGCGCAATTAGGAAAAATGTTTAGAATTGCTCAAGCTACAAGACATGTTTTTTTTAAAATTATAATATAAATGATATTATTATTTTTTGTGGGGGCTTTAAGAGATTATGAGGGGCTTATCCCCCTCTATTTTCGCCACTACCATAGAACGAAGATTACATACTTATAGACGTTATACCATTACCACTGTTCTCTTTATCTGTCTGGTTCGTAAACAGTATACAAATTAAAAGGTCCAAGTTACATGTGGTTTAGTCTCTAGCTTTTCTCAACCTGTAGTACGCTTACCACAAGTGGTATGTGGAAAGCATATAGGTGTACGTGATACGCTGAGAATATCTCCCTTTATAAAAAAAAATGAAATGGATCGTTCACATTATAATAATATTAGATATTATTTGATTTATTTGGTATATAATTATACATATTTAATTTTCTATTTATGCATTATAATAAGCTTATATTATTATCATCATTTTTTAGTTCCTAATAAAATTAAATTTCATATAGGTACATGACACGATATGTACAAAAATATTTTTGAAAAGCAAAAAAAGCGTAATTAGGTCAAAAGGTACAAAAACATTTTCAAACTGTGTAGGTGGTATGCGGATATAAAAAAGTTGATTACCGCAGTATTACTGTATAGTGTATTACGTGTAAAATATTATACTGGTATATTTCATTTATATTAGGTACTTCAATATTTGTATGAACATGCGTAGGTATCAATATGAATAATAAAAAAATAATATTATGTTCTCATATTTTAACATATAAGAAAAATAACAAGTATATAATAACAATGTCATCAATCATCATTAACCATAGACAAAAACCTAGACAATTATATTTTGTATATTGTTTATAATGTACTATTCCAATATGTTAGTTTCAATTTTATAAGTTTCCATGAAACCCTCTGTCGATGAGCTTCACCCTCTCCATTTTTCACCTTAAGAAACTGTACTGAACCCAATTCCAAAACCTGGTGCATACTATCATTGAAAAAGTTGGACGGTTCGTCGCGTCGGTACCTATTCATATTTAGTTTGGTTATTATTCGCTGTTTCATAAGAAGTACCTATCCTAAGTCAGTGACCAATATTTATTTTTGTTGACAGAGTATAGTTACATAGATGCTCCACTTGATGGTGTTAGCGTCTTATGTTATACTTTTCCGGAAAGTTACGTTCCATGAGATTACGGTCTATGTCATTTAGCTTTCCGTACAATTACGGTCCAGGAGATAACGTTTTTTGATTTTACGGATTTTACGATATTACGGAAAAATATATTCCGAAAAATATATATAGTCAAATATATTAACGAATTTATATTATATGTATATGTTACACTGTATATACGTCTATAGTTCTAACTAATGCGATGTTACTTGTTAACCGCCAAGCCATAATATCCGGAATGTACTTATATTGCCTATACAAAACGCCCGGTAATCCAGATAAAAGTCTGTTTTTTGCTGTTAAAGAATAGAATATATTTTTTTTGTTCATCTGTTATTTATATCACAAATGTTTTTGTCCAATATAAACAATTATACAGATATATCATTACGAATTGTGTCTTTTTCATAATATTTATAAAGCTACAAAAGCCCACAATTATAGTGATAGGTACGAATGATTTATTTTGATAAAATCTAATAAATTATAAACATAACGACAATCAGGTATCGTAAGGGCATACATATATTGTGTATGATATTTTGTAGACATTGTTCCTATATCATGTATATTAAAAAATTTATTCTGCTGTACGGTAGGTTACAAGTGG